ATTATTCATTTCATGTTAAATTACATAAAACACTTTGTAGAAGTGATTATCTTTTGCATCAAAATCATTGTTATGGTAGAGAGGAATCCGTTCAAGTTCATTGGTTGAAATCATTTGGAGTGCTCCTATGACTTGACGTGATCATTGTATCTTTGGAGATGATTGTCGAAAAATCATTAGCACCGATGCGGGGCAAATTCATCTTAAGGACTAAGTGTCAAACACTTGCATCGACCAAAAATTCGTCACTTGCATATTTCTTCCTTCATTTTCTGATTTCTTTTAATTATGATTTAATTTCAGAAATTGATTAACATTATTTACATGTTTGTTCTGCAAGATTTGATTCAAAAGAATAACTTGCTTTCGTTCAAGAATAAAAAAAGATGAATCCATATTCATACATTCGGATTCAGTAACTATTATTGTTTTACTTCTCAAATTCTATTTTGGTAAGTCGAAATTTCGTTTCGATTTCACACAAATAAACGGTATGCTTTTATGAATATAATATGCATATAATCGGTGTATTCCCCAACAGTTTATTGCACGTCTTCCTTATTGTTTATATGGTATGCACTAGATAACTCCTGCGCTGAAAATTTCATTGACACTGTGATAAAATCTTATTCTGACCGTCAAACAATTGCAATCTTTCCTCCTACTTCGGACATAATATGAAGAAACATTGGCATATTATTGATGATATATATAGTTGAGGACTGGATTTACGCAATTATGATTGCTTTGCTTCATGGATGATATGCATTGATTGACATAGGAATGAAGGCTTTATTTTTCCCTTTCTATTGCCATCCAAGCCACCTGAAAGGACCTTTAACAATGGAAGGATTCTTAGTAATGGTCCAGTTAGGTTTTGTGCACCAACAATAACCCAAGTATTTCAAAGACAAGCATATTTGCCAAGAACTATGATAAATCATTGATATATAACTGTTAGGAGACTGCTCCTTAATGTGTTTTATATTGACTGATCATCTTGGAGGAGAATTCACTTTATCTCGTGTTGCGTGTGTGGAACTGCTGGGAAAATATGCACTGCTCCTTGCTGCAATTTAATCTGTTTTTTTAACTATAAAACCTGTTATTTTAGCTGATATGGAGTGCATTGAATTATGCCTGCCACTGTGGAAGTTCTAATGTGGAGAGGGTGGTATGTGTCTGAAAGTATGAAGCTTCAGGGGACGGTTGTCATAGGAGGAGGTTCGACTTGTTGACTATCTTTCCACTTGTTAGCAAATGCTGCTTATAGATATGATATCACTGTATAAGCATAAGAGAACTTCTAAGAGTATTGTTAGTGTAATCTGCATCCTCTGTCAAGTAGGAAGACGTAACCCCTCATCCATTAGTAATGCACAGGAGATAAGATTCATTTAACAGGACTTCTCCTCTCCATTATCTTTGAGATTTGGTGGGTGATGGTTCATGATACCAGTGAGAGCCCAAATCCAAGTCCCACAAATGTGTGCATTTAGGTGAGGCTTTCCTTTATTTTCCTCTTATAACTCAAGGTTTTAATGGGACAATCATCTTGTTGAGTTTTGGTATTCTATTCTTTCATTTTCATTGTCATCAATTACATTCACTAATGATGTTTAAAAAGACTCATTTGGCCGCAGATCGGGTTTTTTCCTTCTTTTTGGTGCGTCTAAGACTCTGAGTCGACTAATTATTGTATTTTCCAGACAATATATTGGAGTATCTTAGTACAACAGACCACTGTGGACCAGTGATATTAAAGTTCACTAAGCTACTGTTAAAATTGAGTTTCCTGTATATGCAACAAATGTTAATCTAAAGAGAACAACTTATTCTTGGACTATCATTGCTGAGAACCTGAGACTGGTCTTTGGGGATGTGAAAAGAAGTGATGAAATCTCAAGGACTTGAAAATATAAGAAAAACACAGGTGGGCAGGGATCAGTTTGTGACTATTTGATCATCCCACTTGGATATTGTGCAATTACTGCTGAATGGCCAAGCACTGGACCTCGTCGACTTATAACTGTATTTAAGTAGTAGCAACTGAGAAAAGCCTGTAGTTCCTGACAGCAAAGAAAAGGCACCAGGTTATCATTTACCAATTCTGTTCTTTACCCTCAAAAAAGCAGTGTACCAGGGATCCAGAGCCAATGATTTTGTAGAGTTTAAAATGTAGTCTACAAATGATTATTACAACTACAATGTGGAAACATAAACTATTAGTGTTAAAACCGAACCCATCGATCCAATGTTTCTTCAACACCACCAATGGAGTGTCATATGATATTGAGTTTAGATTTGTATCATACCGGATCATGCACCGTCATTCACGGAAATGACAATGGATACACCGAGAGAAGAATCCATTGGAAGTGACCAAAAATTTTGCTGGAAATATGAAGTCTCCTACTTGGTTAAGTCTCCATGCTTTCTCTATTTTGTTATGCCAAGTCCAAGTGAAAATAAATGAAGTCGTCTTGCAATTATAAAGCCAAAACTATTTGAATTTAAATTCAAATATTGTACTATGATCAAAAGTGAATGTGACATGACTGGAAAAAAAGAATTGACCACTAAGGCTAAGTCTAATCATTGAATTTACTCTATTGTCCAAAATACTCATAAATTAGCACAATACCCTTCAATCTCTCTAGATCAATTAATTTGTGCCACGTGGATGGAGTGATCCACATCACATATTAGCCGTTGGATTTAATAAGGTAGCAAGGCAGATACAGTATTGTAAATTTAATTTTTGTTTGGGTTCATTATAAACGTCAATCTTTTGATGAAAAGAATGAATCTGTCCTGCACATGAGGGGACATTTAGCTTGAACTTTCAAATAATTAAGTCGATTAGATTAGCAGATTGTGTGCTGCCAATGGACCCTTTTCAGTACATCAGATACAATTCAGTCCAATCTAATTGTGACTTTGATGTTCATCGCGCAACACAATGATAGTGAGATTAATCATTCAAATACAGAAGAACACAAAATTTTTTTTGCCCTAAAGCCTCGGTTCCAGCTAACTTAGTGCATGTTTGGTTGGTGATTATATCATTATTTAAGAAATTATAAGTTATGAGTTTTATAAAATGTTTGGATAATAAGTGAGTAATAAATTCTGAATAGCACTTAGCCCACATCCCCATTATGAACTCCAATAATCTGATTACAAATGATTACGCTAAATTCAAATACCAACGAATTTATCGCCAGTCAATCTCCCATTACTAATTAGATAGATCAAAACATGTCGAGACAACTTCTCTCACGTGACCACTTGAGTAAGTGGTTTAATTAGCAGTCTTGAAATTAGAAATAAATAAAATTATTCTTGTTCTCTTGAACTAAAAATCCCAATTTGAACTCAAATCAGCCTTTTTTCGGGACAACTAAGGTCCTAATAAAAGACATAGTGGACCTTCAAACCTTTCAATCTCCTTCGTCCATTATTAAGAAGGAAAACAAAGGGGGAAGAAAAAAAGAAAAATTAGAACATAGAAATTTACTAAGAAAAAGTACAATTTCATAACCATAAAGCACCAGCTTGCTTCAATAGAGTAGTCAACTCTCCTGTTATATGAGTAGCCATGATCCGCTCCAGCCCTCCAAACCACCGCCCTCCGATGAACACCGTCGGAAACTGCATCCTGCCCTCTTTCCCGTCCCCGGCCCCAATCCCCTCGAGCTCAATGACAACATCATTCTCGTCCTCCTCATCAACCTCGTACACCGTCGGATTCACACCTAAACCTTGTAACAGACGTTTGACTACATAGCTCATGCAGCAACCTTCTTTTCCAAACACAATCACTGCATTATCCTTAACCATGTTCTTCAAATCAACTGCAATATCGTAGAGTGATGATGCATTTTCTTTGATTCTTTTAACGTTGTCAGGATTGGGATTCATTATGGTTTGTGGGTTTTCTTGGAGTAGCAAGTTTCTATATGGAATTGGTTCTTGCCTGGTTTTGCACATAGTTTCTAGGTGGAGAGGCAACAAAAGAGAAACAAACTGAGAGAGATAGTATGATACAATGATGATATAGGGGCGATATATATACTTGTATATCTATAGATTGGAATTGAGGGTGGGACTTGAGAGAGTCCGGCGGTAAAGATTTCTCAATTCTCACGCGGTGCAAATGTTGTGGCTAAGAGTTATTTTATGTCACCACCGCCCGTGGTCCACTAAAATATGCCCCTTTCTCGTGTACTAATATTTTTTCTTTCCAAATAACGGATATCTATAGTCAATATACTCGATCGAAAATAATTGCAATGCACATCGTTTTTACATAATTATTTTTTCTTTCTTATTATTATATTNTCTATAGTCAATATACTCGATCGAAAATAATTGCAATGCACATCGTTTTTACATAATTATTTTTTCTTTCTTATTATTATATTAATAATTGATACGTTTAAGTTTTACCAAACAAATACGACGGAAATGCAGCTAACTTCAACCAAATGCTATGCATATAAATTTGTTAGGCAAAAATATTTATACATTTGGTAAGGACTAAAATTAAGATTTTAATCTAAATCAAAATCAATAATTAATTTTAACTATAAAATTTACAACTTTTCAACTATATATAAGTAAATCAACTTTTATAAAAAAGCGTCTAAAATCGAATATTAATCTCATCAAATATGAGCTTATGTTGGGTGGTGAAATTCTAGAAAGAGGAATTCAGATAATAATGTGATTACATGAAATGTGTATATATAGACCCATTAATAGGTGTTATATAACAAATCATGCCCCCCAGGGCATATCTCAGTGGTACATAAAAAAGGAGTGAGATAGTCTCAATTTTGTTGACAACAGCAGTATTATGATTCGATTCCTGAGATATTGAATGGACTCATTGTGGACAACAGTGTATAAGCAAGCTCTTATTTCTTGACTTGTTGGTGCACATTCCACGATTTACCTCCCTCATAATGCTTTAGGGGCGGAGCGGTATGGACCCTCAAAATTGGGGTTCAACCTTTTGTTTTTGTTTTTTATTTTATTTTATATATATATATCTCAATTTTGTTGACAACAGCAGTATTATGATTCGATTCCTGAGATATTGAATGGACTCATTGTGGACAACAGTGTATAAGCAAGCTCTTATTTCTTGACTTGTTGGTGCACATTCCACGATTTACCTCCCTCATAATGCTTTAGGGGCGGAGCGGTATGGACCCTCAAAATTGGGGTTCAACCTTTTGTTTTTGTTTTTTATTTTATTTTATATATATATATATATATATATATATATGCACCAGGTTAGAAACCCCTAAAGCTTAATTGTTCGAGTCAAATAGGCCCCGAAGACAGAAATAAGTTCAAAGAATAATGTAGAAAATGGGGAAAGACAATATTGATTAGGTTACACTCGTCACAGATCAAGTCAAATGGACAAACAACCCCAATCACAGAAGAATACCATCTCAAGTCTCACCCATGCGGTCAAGACCCACCTACAGGACTACAGTGTGTGCTATGCGAAAATGCATGACGAGCTGTATACCAAGAACTCCACAGAAAGTGAGAACTACGATGGAACCTCAGACTCGTACACATGATGAAAAATAGAGTTTGATCCTGAATGCAAATATCATAACGTCATACACGATGCACACAAAATTTTTTATTTATTT